CTCAAGGAGAGGTGTTTCAGATGAGAGAACACTTTTTTTTTTGGACAGTTAATACATTTCTCAGGCTGATTAAGCTCTCTTTTAGGAACATGCAGAACTTCATATAGTGATATTATTAATACTATGTCGTAGACTTACTTGCATAACATCAGGAACGATGAATTAAATCGCTTTGGAGACTGTTTTTTATGTTGAAACCTCTATAAGACATTTTCACCCACTGATATCAGCAATGCATATCTTACTGGCTTCGGTGGCCTGAGAATAAACTTTAATCTCTTTGGCAATGACATTAGAAAACTGTATTGGCAATGACATTAGAAAACTGTAGAATCAACTACTACTGACATACAACTCCCTCTTTCATCTTTCCATACTGTATATGGATATCTGTATTCTAGTATGGATACCTCTGCCTTCCGTATCAATCAATCCTTTCAGGGATTACAGGATATGTACTCTGTTCTGGTTTTGTTTTTGTTTTGTTCTGTTTTGTTTTGTTTCTCAGCTTTGGGGTCATTGCTACAGTACTTTCATTTTGGCAATAAGAGAGCAGGGGAAAAAAATCTTGAAGTCATACGCACAGCTTGACGTGCTTTGCACGTGGAGATCTGTCAGCAAAGGCACAGTGACATAGGAAATGCAAGTAATAAAATGCATAATCCTGCAAGAAACAGATGTTTTGGGTACCTTGTACGATCCCAATTTTCTGTATACCCATGACAGCAATAAGACATATGGCTGCTTCCTGTGAAGTACTGGAATTATTAATATGATTATGTGTATTATGATCAATATATGCCATTGCTGTTTTGACAAGCTATTTATCTATCAGATACATAAAGCCTAATATAGTCCAGGTTTATTATACTTACCAGCAATACCATGTTTGAAGGGACACACGTTTATAACCGTTTTCTCATTACATTTTAATAAATTAGACACTTCATTGTGCATTCAGGTCTTTCAAAAGTCTTCATTGTAGAGCCTCCATCAAGGCATAATAGTTTGAATTTGCCAGCGTTCAGAGCGAGCCTGTAAAGATCATCTGTCACACTCAGTATCTGTAAAGGAGAGAGAGGTGAGGGAACTGGGACATTAAGGAGGACAGACTATAATTTTCTTCATCTGACAGTTCATCTGTTTGGTTTTTTGTTTGATGCTGGGTTTGCTACTTCAAGTTTCTGTATTTCAAAATGGAATGAAAAAAGCTAGCCTTTTCAGAAGGAAGGAAATCAGGTACCTTCCACAATTCTGGTCATCGGTACCAGAAGGGACAAACCTTTTATACCAAATACCTGTTTTGTCCCTGTTTCTTACAACAACCTGAGGATATATACCTCTTTACAATAGTAGAAAAGGAAAGAAGAACAAAGAGCTTTCAGTACCCTTTAGAAATCTGTCTTTCATAGGAGCCCTGTAAACCTCTACACCTCCTGGTTGATCACCAAAGCCATCAAGATGTGACAGGTGATTGAAATCAAAACCATCTGTAACCACAAAGGTTGCATAACATGAATTCCTTTATAAATTATGTTTTCTAATTGTGTGAATTAAGTCACCTCGATTTATAAGAAAAACTAGTTTGGTGAGCATTGAAACTAATGAAATCTGAATTCCAATCGATGCAGGTATTGTGGCGACCTGGCTTTTTATCTGATGTAATCTGAAATTTAAGGCACGAGTTCTTCTGTTAATAGACATTCTTGAAAAAAGCTTGGTAAAGGCTTTAATAAAATTTTGTCAGCTATTTGACATGAGAAGTTCTGGTTTTCAGTCACAATTCCTCCTCTAGTAAAGCAGATACTTTAGGAATTAAATATGTTTGTGTTTAAAGAATTTATAATAACTTTCTCCCAGGTGAATCTTCTGTCTAGTAATCACTCATGCCAGTCTGCTTTCTTTCTCACTTCTTTTCCTTCTGCAGGAACATTAGCTCAATCTATCTTCCCAGCCATCTGTCTTTACGGAACATGCAGGATTTGATATCTGTAAGGTCTGTGCCTTTTTTTTTTTTTTTTTTTTTTTTAAATGTGGTATCAATCAGCTGGAAAAAAATCAAAGGTTTGCAATAAGCTGTTTGAACCATGCACACAGAGTGCTTTACACAAAACTCATTACCTTGAGAAAATAGATTAAAAAGAGCAATAAAACAAAATAAATTCTATCTTATACAGATGCAAAGTATCTTCTGTGTGACTGAGCAGCAGAACTTGACTGCTGGATCTTCAGATCTCCATGTTCCACCACTGCAAACTAAAGAAAGGACTAATGTCCCTGGGTGATCACTTTGAAAGTTCTTGTTATATTTTGCATATGGTTTACATAACTATTTTCGAGTGATCAGGATAATGTCTAAGATCAGGAATTCCTGTGAATTATTCCTGAATCAGAGAAGCAAACATGGTTAGACATTCCCAACAGAGGGCACAGCAGGAGTTTTAAGCAGAGGAAAGATAGTGAAGTCCACCCCTGCACTCTGAAATGCAATGAATGCTGAGACAGAGGTGGGTCTGCCCTTAAACATTTATTTACTAGTAAAACTTGTACTTTATTTACTTACGCATGATCAACCAGCTTGCCAGTTCAAGGCTTTTATAGGAGGCTTTTTTCCCTGGTCCTTCCCATTTGGGCATCGCGACGTCGGCCGGCACTGCAGCAGGACATCTGAACGGCGTGCGGGCTGTCCTCCCACAAGTCCTGCACCCCTGACAGCTCCTCTGGCTCCTTCTGCCGAGCGCCGAGCGAGGGGGTGGCGCGAGCAGCACCCCTGCTGTGTCCTTGCCGGGCTCCCAAGAAGGTGCTGTCGGGCGAGGAAGCAGCTGTCTGTGACCTCCGCCAGCTTTTATACAGCGCGAGGCGGGAGAAAAGGCCTTTTTCCAACAGCCCCTTCACTGCCAGCACTTTAGCTAGAGAGCTGACACCCCTTCAACTTAAGTGCATTAAAAACCATCAAGGGTTATTGAATTATTTCTTGTAATATTTGATATTGTGAGGTGTAAGACACCTCAAGATACTACATATATATCTTACCAAAGCAGCTCCCTTTTCTTGTCTTTATCAGATACATCTCATACTTATTAGCTATCGCAAGGTATTAGCTGTATGCTCTTATTTAATGAGAACCTGAGGGGTGGGTAATAATCATTTCTATTTTACTCCTCGTCCTGCTGAGTTGCCACAAACACCCATCGCTCCTTAGGTGTTCACAACCACAGCTGCACCACGAAGCACCTGCAAATACGGGAGCGGATCTGCAGACAGCCCGAAGGAGGCGGTTCGGTGCTCTGCGTGCACGGGGAGGCGAGGAGCAGCCGGGCTGGGCGGGCGCGGGGAGCAGCAGGCGGGAGCGGAGCTGCGGCGGCTGGGGCACCGCGGGCTGCGCGGGCTGGCAGCCACTTCTCCCGCTGCAGGTGCGCGCTCTGCCCTGCTGCGTTCAGGCTTCCTGAACACAAACAGGGGGGCATGTCTGTCCTCACGTCTTAAGCGGATTGCTGCCTTATTTTTCACACCCCTGTCCCCAGTATCACAGCAAAAATGCAGAAAAAAGGAGATGGCGGTCGGTGGGTACCTGGTCTCAAGCACGTTTACGCCAGTCCTTCTAGAACAACTACAGCGTCCTGGTTTCTATTCCTGAGATAAAGTTCAGAAGAGTTTTTTTTAAAAAAAAGCTTTTTTTTTTTTTTTTTTTTTTTTTTTTTCCCCTTTATGGAGAGAACATCATGGTAAGCCTCTAGGCTTTCTTTTCAGGAAAAAGCTTCACTTTGTTTAATTTTCAGGTTCCTGTGTTTGAGCTGGAAAACTGTGTCTTGAAAGACCCGTGGCCTTAAAATGACCCACGGCAGTAGATTTTTGCATCCACATGCATGTATATGTATACATATACGTACCTACATATGCATATGACAGTGTATGTATACCACATGGCAGCAAAGTCTGAAGGGGATGGAATTATTTTCAGAGTGTATCTGTAACTCAGGACAGGAATGTTGCTCAGAAAGTGGAGCTGAGGGTACCTGACATTTGGGTATTAGAGAATCTACGTGCTGCTTGCTGCCTGCCATGGTTTATGCACCAAGTCATGCGCCTTCTTACTTCTAATTTGCCAAAAAGGTGACTTTCTTCATTTTCTATTGACCATTACGTTATAGTCCAAACCCCAACCGAACTCCACATAGAAGCATAACGAGGATTACAGGATGTTGCAGGAAGTGTCCGCTGATGTGTATGTATCACTGGATCCATTCTGAAGAATAAAAAGTTTTCTTCAGTTGATGCTGCTCTTTTGTAGAATGAATCATAGAATCATAGAATGCTTTGGGCTGGAAGGGGTCTTAGAGATCACCGAGTTCCAACTCCCCTGCCACGGGCAGGGACACCTTCCACTAGACCAGGACCAACCTCTTGCAGAATGAAGCTCTGGCAGTGTATGCTAGGACAGGTAAGAAATGAGGCTGGAAGATAAAGAAGACCTGAACGGTCACGATTTTCAGTGGCTTGGTCGCTAGAAAGAATGTAAGACATACGGGAGGTGATGCCTTCGAACTATAATGGGAGGGTGGGCATTTGCTAACGTAACACGACTTGCCTGCATAACGATCTCTGCCCGTTTCGGAAACGCCGGCCGAACGGCCGGCACAAGCAAGAAGCTCAGCGTGCACCTGGATCTCTCCAAGCGTAAGACACAAGGAACCCCGGAAAGAATTTTTCCGCCCGAAACTTCCGTTCCATTAGGCCTCTATTTGCAACGCAGCTGAAACCCACGGCAACTGGGAAACCCACAGGAACCAGGCCACACGTCCACCCCCACACACACTCCCCGTGACCCCCCCCCCCCCCCCCCCTCAGCTTATCCGCACCTCCCACCGCCCCGTTGCGCGGTCGCCAGCGGCGGGAGGGCCGGAGGGGGGGAGCGGCGGGGGGGGGGGGGGTGTCCGACCGGACACCCGCCCCCCCCCGCCGCTCCCCCCCTCCGGCCCTCCCGCCGCCGGCGCCGCCGGTCGCCCAGTGCCCATGTGCGGGCGGGCGGCCGGGACATGCTCACTGGGCGAGCTCCCGCACCGCGCCGCGGCGACCGCACATGCTCACTGGCCGCGGAGGGCACCGGCGGAGGTAGGAGCTCGCTTCCCCGAACGGCGCTGGGGCTTCCCAGCCGGGCCTCGACATGGCCCTAATCGCGATGGGGGGGGGGGGAGGAGGGTCCCCGCGGGGCCTAATCGCGTGGGGGTGCGGCGGGGCTGCGTGGGAAGGGGCCGCGGAGGCCCCAGAGGCCCGTTCCCGCCCGGCGGCCGCTTCCGAGGCCCCGTCAGCACCGCGGCCAGCGCCGGTGGCAGCGGCGGGGGGGGGCGGGCTGAGGGGGCTGAGGGGAGCCCCGCACCTTCCCGCCTTCCCGTTCTCCCGCCCCCGACCCGGAGCGCCGGCGGCGCTCGGCTGCACGGAGGCCTCTCCCTCCCCGGTGCTGGGGCCTCGGGGAGGCCTCGGGGAGGCCGGCGGGCGGCGGGGGCAGCTCGGCCAACCTTACCGGGGCCGGGGGGTGGCGGGGGGCTGCGGGTCCTGAGGGGGAGGACTGAAGCATCCCGGTGTCTCCCGGAGGTGGGGGGGGGGGGGGGGGGGGGGGGGGGAAGGCGAGAGAGGCAGCCACCGCTCCTTAAAAAGAATTTAAAGAATTGAATAAAACAGAAGGAGGAAATGCAGCCAGTGCTGAGGCATCTGCGAGGTTTCCTCCGGCCCAAGGAAATGCCTGGGAATTATCTGAGGGATGAGGAACAAATGGAAAACGGCCGGGGTGTCGTGCGGCTGCGGCCGGGGGCAGGTGGGTCTGTCTCTGGCTGGACACAAACTGAGCTCCTGGCTTTTGGGGTACGCGCTTTCACCCGCCAGAAGTTAAAATCTTAAACTGAACACGATGTAATGAAGCACAGTGTTGCAGGTTGTGTTTAGTCATCTTCGCAAGGCCCTTTCTAGTGCTGGCTCTGCAGTGAGAATACTTCGTGCAAAATAGGGATTTGTGTTTAAATTCTGTATATTAAATTTGCGACCCTTTCTCATAACTAGCATTGAAATGGTTGCTATCTGATCTGTGCAAGGTCATAGAGAACTTGCAGTTCTCTGCCTTGCTGGATGACCGATTGGCCACATTTAACCATGTGTAACGCAACTGATACATGATATTTTTGATGAGGAATTCTGTTTCCACATTTATGAGGATTTTGAGTTAAGCAGCCTTTGAAGGACATCATGTTTATTTCTTAATCACACAGGAGCAAACTTACACTTAAATCTGTTCCTCGCTGTCGGTCTCATAACTTTGGGAAGATACTTGATTCTCAGAAAATTGCCTAAGTTGGTTCCGTATCGGAGGTACAGACTCAACAGACTCTCTCCCAAGGCAACTAAGATCAAACTTTTCTAAAAGCAAAAAAACAGAGAAACAAAAATTTGCTTGCTCTTTGTAGGGATGTGTTCCCATTTGCCGTATCTAGCCCTACTAATGTAAACCTCTTTCTTTTCTTTTGCCCCTGACTGAAGGTTTCTCTGAAGATTAATCTTCAAGATGAAGTTCTTACTAGCCGTTTTATTTTTCATCTCATTCTCTTTATGCGTTGAAGAGGTCTATTCCAAAGAGAAGTCTTCAAAGAAAGGAAAGGGGAAAAAGAAGCAATATCTATGTCCATCGTATGTCCCTTGTTTCTTTTATGCTTTTGTATGATGGAAATCCTGCCGTGTTTTTAACATTGGAAATTACGTGGCAATTGAAGTAGAAGGTGATTCTTTCTGCTGAAGGAATGGTGTTTGGGGTGGGAATGGGAGAGGAAGAGGGGTTGACCAGTATCATAGATAAGTTCTGTCAGTGAGTGTGTTTTCTGTAGCAGGGCCGCTGTTTTAATGACAGGAAACATCAAAGGCAGAGTAAATAATTGCTTTCGTTGTGTGGGATTCCAACCCAGTGTCTTGCTATTTGTAGGGACACAGTAAGGTAGTCGTGTAATGCTATGCTGTCTAGCATCGTGTTGCAGGTGTACTGAGGAAAGCAAGGAGGGTGCAAAACTGTCATACTGAAATTCAGTTTCTGGTCAGCTTAGTTCTGTAAGAGAAGGCTTGTCCTGCATGTATTCTTATTGCATGTTAAATAGAACTAAGGTCTTCAGCATGTGCCATCAGTAATTTACAGTGCTATAACTTCTATGGAGGTGGATTGATTGTTGCTATAAAGCATGCCCTTTTGGAGTAATCTCTGTAAAAATACAGAAATTAAAATATGTCATTGCCCCGCTGAACTGAGAATGCATTCTGGACACCTATGATTACTTGATGTTAAAAATACTCCTTCTTTCTAATGCCTACCACATTGTACATTGTGGTCAATAGGACAATGCAAAAGTTTTATTTGTGAGTGCCTTTTTTGTCATTTTCTTGGCCAGCCTTGCTCATCTTTTTAGTGTTATGGTGTAAACATCTGAGGAAAATATAGATGGAATGCAGTAAGTTGCCAATAAGCATAGAAAAGCACTATGCCTGACATGATAAAATTATTTAGACAAATTTAAAACACATTTCTTCTTTGACCATAAACCAAGAAGACTGGAAGATGAGACGGGCTGTTTAATATTAATAGACTTTTTCCAAAGGAGAAAAAAATAAAAAAGGAGAATAACCAGATGGAAGCAATGTTTGAATAACACTTTTTAAAGTTCCCACTCTTTTTAAATATTGTCAGTGATATTTCTTTGTAGCCCAAAATTTGTAGAAAGATTCTACATATGGTGAATGTTTTAATTCTATTTTTTTTATATCAAAACTAAAAAGTGAGATGTATCTTTGGATTTGAAACATTAAGATGCAAGTCTCATGACAAGACTTGCATGATGACAAGACTCATGTGATCATGGCTCATGTGAAATGACCCCTGCCCCTTCCATCCCCTTTGAATAGTTAAGCTGAGCTCTCAGTGGAGGTTTGGGTCTCAACTACCGTGAGGATTTGTAGCAAGGAGAGAAGTGTGGTAGTTCCCAGGACAGGTGTCAGCATGGAAGTCCTCAGATACAGAATTACACAGCTAGGAACTGAATCCAGATCTTCCATGGTCTTGCTGAAGCAGCTCAGCATTTCCCCCTGTTCTTGACTTGGTCTCAGTTAGAATTCAAAACACTGATGTCATTTTATCTTGATAAGTGGGTGGATTTTTTTTTTTGTTTGTTTGTTTTTCACTTAAGCACAGTATTTCTTGGTACCCTGTTCTTTTTGATACCAGTTGATGTTACAGCTGTTAAATATGATGTCATTTGTCACCAATATACTTGAAAACCATTGCATAAATGCTATAATTTTCAAAGTGATACTTTCACATTCCAGCCAGTTGAAGCTTTCTGCAAAAATACTGGTGGAATCCAGTATTTGTGTTATGTATCACGTGTACAATGTTGCTAGGTAGAATTAGCTGCCATAGGAATAAGCACTGCTGGATTTTCTGAGTAATGACCAAGTTGTCTATATCTTACTTGACTGACGTTCACAGCTTGAGAGACAACTGTTTGTAATAGCGGGGTTTCAGGACTGCTTTTTTTGTGGCTGGCATCTAGAAGATCTCTCATGTGAATAAGCAATGGAAGTCAGTTCTGTCTTTCAGAGAAATTATCTAATGCTCTCTTAACTGAGGCTACTGATGACAAACTTTCAATCATCAGAATTTTTTTAATAATCTTTGACAAAACTTCTTGACTTGGTGACACTGCATTATAAAAAAGGCTGCCTACTCTTAATAATTTTTTCCAGTGAAAAAAGTAAGGAGTCTTTCCTCAGAAACAAACCAAAACACAATGCAGTCGAGTGGAAATTAGGTGACACCCCGTATGCGTTGACCAAAACTAGTCTCAAAGGAAGTGGTTGAATGAAACATTTACTAGTAAAGCATGGTATAAATATTTCCAAAGAATACATTGTATCTTTTTAAAACAAAATAAATAGGATTTTGCATAATTTTTAAAATTGAATGGTACAAATTCCTAATGAAAATCTTAATCTACCTTTAATTTGAAGTGGTTACTAGTGCAATAAAATTTGAAGCTTAATTGTAACTAATTATGGCCTTTTGTTTCCTTGCAACATGTGAAAAGCTAAATTTTACCCCCTCAAGAGAACAACAAAACACACTAGTAATTATATAAAGGAACAGTCTTCTCTTTACAAACTATATAATGAAATTCAAATGCATACAAATAATTTTCCAGGGAAGATTTATGCTGAATCTGATGTTACTGCTTGAGTTCCTTAGTTTGATGTTAAGGAATGGATGGTTGTAAAACTGGTTTGGGACTTCAGCATGAATTTGTTTGTATGGGAACTGAGCATACTTGAACTTTTCCTTTTATGGCTCTCCAGAATACAAGCCTTTTGCCAAATGCGTCCCTCTGGCAGGAAATGAACTACTATTAGAATAAGCTGAAAACAAGCTGATTAGAAACCCCATAAAAAAGTTCATTAACAGTCTCATAAACAGATACTTGCCTCCTTCAATTAGGAAAATACTATTTTGTATCTTCGAGCAAAACCTTACTTGTGATCATTCATAATGCTGCACTTCTCAGTGCATTGTGTGAGTGGCTTGATTGTCCATCTTATTTTCATTTATTTCTGAAGCTGTTTGCCCCAGCTTTTTTATCGAGGGGTTTCATGGAGCTGATGCTTAATCACTTGGTTCTTACTTTGATTTAATGCTTGCTCAGAACAGATGTAACATTTCACATCTTACATTTAGATCAGTTTCCTTCTTACCTCAGGCTTTCCACATGAAACATAGAGTAATTATACTTGGGTCTGATTCCTGAATGTTTGTTGATTAACAAAGAAATTGGTATATTAGGCCTAAAATCCTATAATAGTGTTGCAGCATAAATCTGAGAGGCTGGCTTCCACAGATGCTTAGGGCAATAAAATATAAAGCTTTTGTGTAACAAAAGTCTTGCCTTTTGTCTCCATAGAAAATACTAAAAAAAAAAAAAACCAAACAGATCCACCTCTTCAAGAAAAAAATTAAGAATTTTGTGGATTATAGTCTTCTGTTTACAAAGCTTATTTTGAAATTCACTATACTGAATTCCGGTGATTTTGATATAGCTAGAGATGGATTTAGTCACTTAATCTCTTTCTTGATCGTAGACTACCCATCAGCTGTATTACCTTTGTTACTTACTTATTAACTTCTTCATGATTCCTTGTAATACCTGTTTCTGGTAAACATGTTGGACACTTAGCTGTGATGTTTTCTAAGAGCACTGCTGAAAGATGTTTTTCCTTCTGTTACGTCATAATAAATACTTCAGTTATTTTATGATGTGTGAGCTGCTGCTGTTATCCCCACCGTCCTCAGTAGCCCAGAAGGTCTCTACACAGAACTACCTGCAAGATCTCTAGGCAAATGAAATTATCAGGAAAGGGAAGTTTGCTTATGGCAGTGTTATAGAAGGTGTAGAGACGTAAGACGCTTATATAGCACTGATGGGAGGGGTGATACAGTTTGTGGGAAAAAATGGAATGAAATTGAAAGAAAATCCAGAATTTGGCTGTGGAGGCAGTTACATCTCACAGTCATTCTGAAGATAAGCACATTGCAGAGACCAGGTCTGGTTCCTATAAAAATTCTTTTGCCCCATAGTAACAGCAGTTGGTCAATGGTTTAATTATTCTGTAGTATGTAACTCTCATGGAAAGCCGCGATCCCGGACAGATAGGGCCACATTCCGGGAGGCTTGAGAATTTGTTTTCAGAGTGGATAAACACGCAGGGGAGTAACAGATAAAGCTATATAAGCAAAACCTAAATTCTCTTGTAAAACAGTAATTAAGCATGGTAGGCTGGTTCTGATTCAGTAATTCTCCCTTTCAGTGGGCAGGGTTTACTCCATTCAAAACACTGTAGTGATGAGACTACAATTGTGTGGTAAAGTTACAGACTTTGTATTTCGTATACAACCTCCAGACTGAGAAAGGAATTGGCTCTTCAGGTTAAACTGTAGACGAAATTCTATTCTCAGCTCTACCAAATGGATCTCTGAAAGACAGTTACATAGAATGTATCTCCACTTACACTTTCCACTTGTATCTCCACTTATAGCACCATTCAAGGTGATTAAATGTTTCCAAGATCTGCATGTTGTCTCAGTAATTATGCATTTGGAAAAAAAAAAGACCGGGGCAAGGAACTGATGTGGATAAATTGTTTTTGAAATGTCTGTAGTTCTGCTTACGCAGCTGGATGCTGATCGTGTTTCATGTCAGCATGCAATATCAGGACACAACAGGACGCCCGTTAATGCACAGAGGTCACTTAGGTGGTGACTTAGGGTGCAGAGATGCCTCAGCTAGGAGCAAACAAGCTAATTGTAAGAAATGGGAGCATTGCTGTGAGCTTGCTATGAGCAGTACTAGACAAGCTGGATAAAGTGTCATGCTAACCTGGTTCTGCTGGTTTGGGAGCTGTTGTCTCTGTGGTGGGCAGATGAATCACCTTGCTTTTCTCAAGTTTAGGGAATAACTAGACACTTCATAATACCATATAAACGCTCCTTAGGGAGTCCAACCCTGGCAATGTTGAATGTGAAACCAAAGCTGAACTTGGAGGTTTCTTATAGACAAGAACTGAAGTAGTGTCACTAACTGAGCTGTTCGCACCAGCCAACT